AAATCAATGATACCAACCGTTATAGTAATGTAATTAATTAATAGTCATATGGGACATTATCTAGCAATTAATATTGTCTTTGTATAATAAGATAACGTTTTTTTTTGCAGACAACGTGTAATGTAATTGGCTTGCATTTATATGTCTAAGCAAATTCTGCAGTTAATTTAGGTAATTTTTGTTTTTTTATTTTGTCATTGCAGTTGACCAATTAATAGCCGGTTACGCTAAACAATAATTATATGTGTATATCTAATATATTTGTAAATATCTAAGTAGTATGTACGTATTTATGTAGTTACGTCAGACGGGGTGAACATTACATGTATTTATAATACAAATATTATACAATTTACAATGCTAAATCGGCAAGTTTAAAATTATTTCTGAATAATTGTTTTATGGTATTAATAAAAGTTTTAACAGTAAACGCGTATTCCATGTGTTTTAAATGTAAAGGTTGGAATTAATAGTTATGCGTGTTGCTTGGTAGGTCTTTGTACCGCATCAACAATGAACAAAGTTATAAACTACAAACAAATTGATTTTGTCACCTTATGTTCTTTTGTATGTAAATATACACAAAAGTTGGTAATCTGTTGCATAAATTGTTGCATTCGCTGCTTTAACATAGTTAAGAAACTTTCGAATACTTGAATAATATTAAAAAGGAAATACGATTATAGCTTACACTTTTTTCAGTAATCGAATTACTTAGTGACGCGCAAAATGTCAGCGTTTTACTAACCGAATTTGTTCATGAGTTAAATTCCTGACCTCGGGATCGTGATAGCTTCAGTCTTGGTTTCACGTTTCGTCACACACACTGCAATAGGGAATAATAACAACAACGTCCGATGTGCGGTTGTAGCTATAATAGACCTAAATTGAAATTAATAAATTGGCCCTTGGTGAGCACTGGGCGCCAGGTTCCCACATAGCGGCCGTTGACGACGTCTGGTGACCGATCGTACCAGACACAGGCACTTGATAACTAATGAAAATAATTAATTTGGAGAATGAAAAAAAAACCCGATGAATTGGGATTAAGAATAATATTTTTGTCTGTTTCAATATAATTCAAGAATTTCAATGTAATTTTTGCGTTGAATGGTAATTTATGTCAAAAACCTAGACAAATGTGAAGGTCCCAGCACTTATAGTTTTTTTAATAATTCCTGTTCAGTAATTTTACATAATTAAGAATTATTAGTTAGAATTACTCAATTTTTATTTCTATTTAAAATAAAAAAGATTATTATAGAAATCGATTTTTAATATTTTTTTGTTTAGTTTACCTTATTATTTTTTGCTTGAATCGTGTAATCAGCGAAATATTTTAAAACATTTTTTTTTTAGGGTTTAACAAAACAATGTGTGATGAAATCTTAATTTAATTTTCCGATATTAATTTTTTTGTTGATTAGCTAATTAGAGCACTCTGGTGGTATTTTGAGTGCTTTGTGGCACAAAATACATACATTAATTAAATACAATAATATTTTAATATTAATTTGTTATTTTTTAGCTGCAACGTATCGCATATTAATAATCAAATATTCCTTTAGAATATAGAACATATTATAGAATGTCTGTGGCGTTTTATGGTTTTTTAAATGTATGCTGTGAAACTATTCTAGCTAGGAAATTATTGTACCTCGATATTGTTCGGGGATTAAAACAATTGAAAACTACTGCCTAAGTCTGTTTAAGTTGTTTTATAGCGCATTGCTATACCGTATTAAAATTGAGTATAATATGGGCAATAAAACTCATCGACGAAACACTATTGGACGGTACTTGAAATGTCATTTCAACCGAAACGATCAGGCTATAAAAAAAAAAACCTTAGTATTCTCGATCAGAATACCCGTGTATTATATATTTTTCAGTGGAGTTTTCATATCCGCTGGAATGGTCAGGGTTGGACGGTTCGGCCGGATAGGGTAGGTAGGTAGAATAATCCCACGTTTTCCCTTTTGTGCATTTAAAATTAAAATAAAGAAAAATTTAATCGCGAAACCTTTAAGAACTAGGTACATTTTTATTATATAATTATTGTATGACTTTATTCTTGCAGCTTTAGCGTGGTACAAAATATATAAGGATGTCCTTTCTTAAACTGGTTCATTAAATATATCATAATTCGTTTTGAAAATGTATTCTAAAATGATCTCGTAAAATAGTACTTTCAATTTGTTTTAGAAACAAGAATATGTTTAATGTTTTAACGGACAATAATTATTTTACTAGCACTAGTAGGTAGTTAATATTTTTGTTGTTGTTTATAGGGTATAAATACAATTTAATAATTATATTTTTTTTATCTCTTGAGCTTTTAAAAACATTTTCGTATAACCCTAATAAGTTGATTTAACTTCAATGATACGTGAGTGCTTCTATAATGTTTTTTCTCCAACAGTCCCGTTAAGTTTGAATGTATCAATTTTTGTCAACGATTCTGTTATTTTGTTGTCGAGCGTTAATTTGTATATGATTCCACCAATACGAGTGTATTGACCTAATGTGTATTAATATACTAAAATATTCGGATTTTTTTTCAAGTACAACTAATACAATAAATATTATTTTGACTTATAAAATTAATGTGGTAGTGTTATTGCTGAATGATTAGTGCGCTTTCTTTCAAGTTAAAACCCATAAATTAAAAATCAAATATAAAAATAGTAAGAATGCAACAGCAGAATGTATTGAAAAAATATTTAATTTGATTTTGTGCCAAAATAATAAGTCGAAAAAGTACCTACTGATAAAGTCCCAGAAATAATTTTAGATAATAAGAACCCTCAAGTATTATGCAGTTTTTTTTTTATTTTGGTCTGGCATTTTTTAAAAATAATATACAATCATTATATTTATATTATACATAGGGATGGTTTATGCGTATAAAACAAATATAAGAACTGATATAAAGAATAGTAATATTTAATATCCACGCAGGCAATACATTTCCATCATTTTAAAAATATAGCGACTCAGATTTATTAAAAAATGTAAGAAACCCTGTTGTTAAATGTTAGATTACTTAATTGAATGTGAAAAAATTGGAAATGTTTTTTTTTCTTTTAAAAAAATATTAAGTAATTTATACGTTGTATTTTTCATTTTAAGTCGGCTTTTATTCCGAGTTATTTTGTTTGGTGTTTTCTTTTTGCTGTTTTCCAACAACGATAAGTATATAATCGTACGTTTTGTTATTTCAGTCTACATAGGGTGTAAACTGGACGAGGTCCTATTTGCTTCCGAAAAAACCAATTTGTTTAATGGTTAAGGTTTAGGGTTTTATTTTATTAGGTGTATATTTTTAACCATACTTCGTCAAATAATTGTAACAGGTCAGCTGACCTGCAAATATTTTACTAGTTTTACCAGAGTAATAAGTGAAATGTTTTGTTAAAATGTCTATGTTTTTTCATTGTCTACCTAAGGGTTTTTGTACTTAAAAAAATTAATATTATCTATTTGCTTAGTGTAATTGGTTTTAGGGTTTATAGAACATCATAATTTTTTAAGTTTAAAAACGATATTTTTGCCTAACGTTTTCATTTTGAAGTCAATTTTGTGGAGTATAGATTTTAAAAAAAACCAGTACAGTGGGGTCGGGGCATAGTGGGGACGGAGCATAGTGGGGACGGGGAGGTCACAGGTTTATAGGAATTTTTAAATCTGAAAGTGATAAAATCACTTTCGAAAAAACGCTTCGATGCAAATCGGTAGTTAGTATTTTCAAGGCAGTACAATCTAAACCAAGCACAGTGTAAGCTAGCAAAGTTAGAAAGTATTAAATTGAATCGGCCATTTCAAAAACGACTTAGGTCACCGATTTTTCAAAACTGTCTTTTTATCAAATGTAATAATCATATACTTAGCTACGTATTCTGTGTGAAAACTCAATTTGTCAGACTCATATTTAATACAAATGTTGAGTACAAGAAATTTGAATCACTGCAAAATATATTTATGAAGTTTCTTGTGGCTAGTGTAATATTTCAAATTTGTGACTTGTGTCGTTTTATATGACCGATAAAATTACAAAATAGAAGCATCAAAGCGTTTATTTGAAAGTTATTTTATTTAATTTTATCACTTTTATTTGTAATAATTTCTGTAGACCTGTGACCACTCCGTCGCCTCGTTGCTTTGATTCCATTATGCATAGGCATAATGGAAAATATATTAGAATAAAGATTCTACTGTACTAGGCCTCTTGGATAAAATATATACGTTACCATTTAAGTTTCAAAAGTTGCTATCAAAAAAAATAAGTTGGGAGAGGGGTAAAAACAAAAAAAAATGTGAAAAATTGAGATCACATTGTAAAAAAACAATATGAAAAAAAATATATTGTAATTTCTTATTAAACCCTATGAGATATGAGATATTGAGTGGCTCGTTATAAAAAAATCACCCTGTATTTTAATAATAATTAAAAGTCATGAATGATAATTCTTTATTTTATGACTGGATCAAATCTCGTGAACATTTTACTTTATGATACTGCTCCTATACTATTATTAAAAAAACACAATTTTTAAAATCTCCATAAAAGGTTTTCAACCCACATAAATATAAAGAACACAGCTAATAATGATGAATTTTGCTTTTGTGATTTTTTTTTTTTAACTCCTTACTATTAAAAATACTATATAATTATATAGTAGCTATAGTTGCTCTTAAATGTGAGTTTCGGACCCTTAATAAACACATAACAGCGAAATAAAAATAACATTATTAAGATAAATTTTTTATATGCATATTAATTGCATATTTTGGTCAACAAATATCTGATTTACTATCTGTCGAATGGCGAGTAAATGGAAAACAGAACCTGATCAATAAACGAAGAAGAGTAGTTCTTGTTAATCACCAGGATTTTATTGATGCACTAGGTGAATATTATATTAGCATATTACTTATTAATTTATGTCAGGCTGCACAAAATTTTGATAATCTTCTATATAAATGATATTAAATTTACATCATGATTCTTCATCATCTTCTGCCTCCCCTTCTCTTCTCGAAGTTTCATTTTTTTTTTTTAGGCGGTATCCCACGGCACGTATTAGGCGCTTTATTTCTCTACGATTCAATGCACAAATAAGTCCGTATTTTTTTCCGTTCCGCCGGGTTTCCGGATTACATTTCTCGATTTGCTCAACAATAAAATTCAATGTTTGCCCTCGATCGTAAATGTTTGGGACAAACATGTGAACATTTTCTACAGTAATTACATTCCAATCTGCACTCATGGCCGGTTGAGGGGCGGTTCCAGAATCCGTTGCCGTAGTCTTATCCGGTTGAGAAGTTCCGGAATACGTGGCCGTACTCTTAGCCGGTTGAGGGGCGGTTCCAGAATCCGTTGCCGTAGTCTTATCCGGTTGAGATGTCCCGAATACGTGGCCGTACTCTTAGCCGGTTGAGGGGCGGTCCCAGAATCCGTTGCCGTAGTCTTATCCGGTTGAGGGTCGGTCCTAGAATGCGTTGCCGTACTCTTAGCCGGTTGAGGGCGGTTCCAGAATCCGTTGCCGTAGTCTTATCCGGTTGGGAAGTCCCGGAATACGTGGCCGTACTCTTAGCCGGTTGAGGGGCGGTCCCAGAATCCGTTGCCGTAGTCTTATCCGGTTGAGGGGCGGTCCTAGAATGCATTGCCGTAGTCTTATCCGGTTGAGAAGTCCCGAAATACGTGGCCGTACTCTTAGCCGGTTTAGGGGCGGTTCCAGAATCCGTTGCCGTAGTCTCATCCGGTTGAGAAGTCCCGGAATACGTGGCCGTACTCTTAGCCGGTTGAGGGGCGGTCCCAGAATCCGTTGCCGTAGTCTTATCCGGTTGAGGGGCGGTCCTAGAATGCATTGCCGGAGTCTTATCCGGTTGAGAAGTCCCGAAATACGTGGCCGTACTCTTAGCCGGTTTAGGGGCGGTTCCAGAATCCGTTGCCGTAGTCTCATCCGGTTGAGAAGTCCCGGAATACGTGGCCGTACTCTTAGCCGGTTGAGGGGCGGTTCCAGAATCCGTTGCCGTAGTCTTATCCGGTTGAGAAGTTCCGGAATACGTGGCCGTACTCTTAGCCGGTTGAGGGGCGGTTCCAGAATCCGTTGCCGTAGTCTCATCCGGTTGAGAAGTCCCGAATACGTGGCCGTACTCTTAGCCGGTTGAGGGGCGGTCCCAGAATCCGTTGCCGTAGTCTTATCCGGTTGAGGGGCGGTCCTAGAATGCATTGCCGGAGTCTTATCCGGTTGAGAAGTCCCGAAATACGTGGCCGTACTCTTAGCCGGTTTAGGGGCGGTTCCAGAATCCGTTGCCGTAGTCTCATCCGGTTGAGAAGTCCCGGAATACGTGGCCGTACTCTTAGCCGGTTGAGGGGCGGTCCCAGAATCCGTTGCCGTAGTCTTATCCGGTTGAGGGGCGGTCCTAGAATGCATTGCCGGAGTCTTATCCGGTTGAGAAGTCCCGGAATACGTGGCCGTACTCTTAGCCGGTTTAGGGGCGGTTCCAGAATCCGTTGCCGTAGTCTCATCCGGTTGAGAAGTCCCGGAATACGTGGCCGTACTCTTAGCCGGTTGAGGGGCGGTCCCAGAATCCGTTGCCGTAGTCTTATCCGGTTGAGGGGCGGTCCTAGAATGCATTGCCGGAGTCTTATCCGGTTGAGAAGTCCCGGAATACGTGGCCGTACTCTTAGCCGGTTTAGGGGCGGTTCCAGAATCCGTTGCCGTAGTCTCATCCGGTTGAGAAGTCCCGGAATACGTGGCCGTACTCTTAGCCGGTTGAGGGGCGGTCCCAGAATCCGTTGCCGTAGTCTTATCCGGTTGAGGGGCGGTCCTAGAATGCATTGCCGGAGTCTTATCCGGTTGAGAAGTCCCGGAATACGTGGCCGTACTCTTAGCCGGTTTAGGGGCGGTTCCAGAATCCGTTGCCGTAGTCTCATCCGGTTGAGAAGTCCCGGAATACGTGGCCGTACTCTTAGCCGGTTGAAGGGTGGTCCCAGAATCCGTGGCCGTAGACTTATCCGGTTTAGGGGCGGTCCCAGAATCCGTTGCCGTAGTCTTATCCGGTTGAGCAGTCCCGGAATACGTGGCTGTACTCTTAGCTGGTTGAGGGGCGGTCCCAGAATCCGTGGCCGTACTCTTAGCCGGTTGAGGGGCGGTCCCAGAATCCGTTGCTGTAGTCTTATCCGGTTGAGCAGTCCCGGAATACGTAGCCGTACTCTTAGCCGGTTGAGGGGCGGTTCCTGATTCCGTTGCCGTAGTCTTATCCGGTTGAGAAGTCCCGGAATACGTGGCCGTACTCTTAGCCGGTTGAGGGGAGGTCCCAGAATCCGTTGCCGTAGTCTTATCCGGTTGAGGGGCGGTCCCAGAATCCGTTGCCGTAGTCTTATCCGGTTGAGGGGCGGTCCCAGAATCCATTGCCGTAGTCTTATACGGTTGAGGGGCGGTCCCAGAATGCATTACCGTACTAATGGCTGGTTGAGGGGCGGTCCCAGAATCCGTGGCCGTAGTCTTATCCAGTTGAGGGGCGGTTCCAGAATCCGTTGCCGTAGTCTTATCCGGTTGAGAAGTTCCGGAATACGTGGCCGTACTGTTAGCCGGTTGAGGGGCAGGTGCGGAGGTCGATGTCACTGCCGACTGTTTTGGAAAAAAAAACATTATTATACTTACATTTTTTCTTGTCTTATTTCTGGCACATAACCGATAAGAGATTAGAGATAAATGATGAGGGATGGGCTAGGGTTGGGGGTGTGAATGGATTTGGAGTTAGGGGTAGGAGTTGGAATGGGAGTGGGGGTAGTATATTACTTTGGCAAATAAATCGAAAAAAACTGTCACAAAAACACATAGGTATTACATATTATATGTTAACAGCTTGCGTACTTTTCCGCAACACCACGTGATATATTTTTAATAACCAAACATATTCGTCTGCGAATCGTAAGGGAAGCATTTCATTTTATGATAATGGCCTAACAAATTATTGACCACATAATAACTCTTTGGAACATAAATTTAACTTATCAATTACTTCTGGAATTTTCCCACACGTGTTTTCCATGAAACCAAAACTCAAAACAAATTTATTTTTATTTTCTTAAGTAGTATTAAGTACATTTATCGCATATGGTTAAAAAAAAAAATTATGCAGTGAAGGGTTAAGTTATATAAAAAATATGTCATCTATAAATTACGAGTGTCAACATTTTGAAAATGTATGCTTACACGCTAACTTACTTACTAACTATTACAATCTACTTCTTTTTGTTTTTTATTTGTTCTTATAATATTGGTATATTATACTGTTATTTTTCATTTGTAAATTATCTAAATATTGAAAACAGAAAAATGTATAAATTTAAGACATGAGATATGAACTCTTGTCTCCTCCACAAGCATCAGGCTTTTGGAGACAAACTTTTTCCTTTATTACTCATGTATTGTAAACTATGTATGTTCTGTTTGGAAATAATAAATAAATCATCATCAAATCAAATCAAATCTTAATTGCTAAAAAAAAAATAAAAAAGATAAATAACTGAAATTAACATATATAAAATTATAAATTATTAAATAGAAATATAAATAGAAAAAAGTGCCTGCAACACACGTATCTAGCTCTAAAGGTGAGCTTCCAGGCTACTTAGCCAATCTTGGGCCTCACTGTTAGGGGGCATACCTCTGCAACGTGTTTGATGTTTTGTACCTGTCCACACTCGCAGAGTGGTGTATCTACAATTTTCCAATTATTGTAAACGAAATTACAATTTCCCTGTTCTGTTCTGATCCGGTTTTGAGCGGTCCACAACACGAGTTCAAATCCTGGGCCTCTCTGATTCGGATCATTGACGATGAGGCCATTAACCACATTTTCATCTCTCCAAATTTTCTTCCACAAATCCTCCGGATTATCTGTTGTGCTGTCGATAGACCAAATAGTGCGAAAGTCATTTGCCCTACACTACCAGCTTGTTCCGGCTAGCTTACTGATTGTATTGCTTCTTGTTTTTATTTTGTTTTTTACTCCTTCTAAATGTTGTTTGAAGGTCAAAGTCCTGTCTAACTTTAATTCCAGGTATTTCGGAGAGCCTTCTCATTGTATATTAACTCCCTGAGCCTCTAAGTTCAGTTTTCGTTAGGTCGAGGAAACCCGCCTCTGATTTTATTTTCTTCTGAAATCCGTTTTCTACATGCGTGACAAAACTTGCTCACAACAACTTTTTCCTGATCTGAAACCTGCTTGTTCCTTCGGTAGATTCTCTTCGGTTTGTGTTTTGAACTCTTGTTAACAGTACTCTTTCAAACAATTTATATACCACTGATAATAATGACATCGGTTTATAATTCTTTGGGTCATTAGTAACAATCTATATAATATAAAAAATTCTCGTGTCACAGTGTTTGTAACAAAACTTCTCCGAAACGGCTTGACCGATTCTTATGAATTTTTGTGTGTATATTCAGTAGATCTGACAATAGGACGTTAACTATTTTTCATACCCCTAAGTGATAAGGGTGGTCCACCCCAATTTTTTTTTATTTAATATGATTATCGATAGTATCAATAGTTATGAAAAATTACACCGTAGATCTATCTACGGTGCCATTTTTCATACCACAGGGATACAGCTGATTGTTTGTCTACTACATGACCATGTCTAATACATATATACCCGGGAAACGCCGGGTCGGGACAGCTTGCATAATTTGCCACCCTCCATTAATTTCGAATTTTTAAGCGGCATTCGTTTTGAGAAAATCGCAACTTTCAGAGACAGAGACAAATTTTTAATAGATCAAAATTGTATAAAGCCGGTGTCAGATGCTGTTTAATTTGTACTTACCGAATACCATCGGTGGTAATACCACCCGCCTATTGCGCCGGCTCCAAACACCGCCGCTCCTCCAGCCACCATCTTCCAGTTCACATATTTTAACATTGTACTGAAAAGTTATAGAATTATACTGACGTCAAATATTAGATAAAAATCAAAATCACACAAAATGATTAATCATAATCAATATTTACCTTAACGACAATTTGATGCCACAGTAACATCATACAAGTTTTTTCAGTCAGAAGTAAAAATTAAAGAGGATATCTTATGAAACTAAAAAAGAACCGTATACATTTAACTAGTTTTTCAAATTAAATATAATCCCATGTACGTCCAAATACGAAAATGAAAAAAGTTTATAGCACACATTAAATCCTTACAGACAAGATAGCTTACCATATGGAAAGAAAACGACGAAGCTACGCAGGGCCGTATTTAGGAGGGGACAACAGGGGGCTGTTGGCCCGGGCGCTGATTATTAGAGGGCGGCTAAATTTTATTATATTGCATTAAATTTGTATTATATTATAATAAGGCGTTTTTTTTGTTGCCCCAGGGTGACAAATTCCTAAATACGGCCCTGAACCTACGACTGTACTTGAATATTGGTTAAACACTATAGATGTAAAAATAAGTGAAAATTATGATTCAAAGGCTGGTTTCACAAAGACAAAATACCAACGACACAATATTACAACTAGAAAATTACCTAGAATCCTACCAACAGTATCAAGATTTGTCAAAAACATATCAAGACTCTCAAAAACTAACTTTGGGCTTAATTATCCACGCATACTGGTTAGGCATTAGCCAAACATCATTAAAAGAAAATCACAAATTGGTACTTTTTATAACTATAGAGTAAATTGTCTGTTTTTAGATTACTTGCGCAACAAATAGATTTTAGAGATCTGTATGAAAAAAATCGATGCTATACAAAAATCGTTTGATGACAATAAATAAATTTTTTTGGAAATGCGCTTAATTTCGTTGAAAGATCTAAGCAAAATATTCCACAGAAGGCTGTGGAAACCACGACAAGAGATCATGTAAATCTCAACGGTATAATAAATTCCAAGTAAGTTGAAACGTTACTGAACAGTGTACATTGCAAATTAAATGCATAATATTGTTGTACAAAATTTGTGTACATATTTAAACAGTTTTACAAATATTGTGTTGTAAAAAAATAGACTAAAGAGCATATTCAATTTTATCACTTTTTTTATAATAATTCCTCTAGACCTGTGACCTCTCCGTCCCCTCGTTGCTTTGATTCCATTATACCTATACTCTACTGTACTAGTCCTCTTGTATAAAATCACTTTCAAATAAACGCTTTGATGCTTATTTGTAAATACAGAACGTCAATTTAATACTTTCTAACTTTGCTGGTTTATACTGTGCTTGGTTTGGACTGTACTGGCTTGAAAATACTAACTATCGATTTGCATCGAAGCGTTTTTTTCGAAAGTGATTTTATCACTTTCAGATTTAAAAGTTCCTGTAAACCTGTGACTTCCCCGTCTCCACTATGCCCCGACCCCACTGTACTGTTTTTTTTGGGTCGGTGATTACGAATTTAATATCAGTTCTCAATTTCAATCATCCGGAAAGAATTTAAGTAAAAAAAAAAAAAGTTGAATTTGTGTAAACTTAAAGTCAAAAGTGGTAATTGGGCACAAAACTTAATAGTATCTTCTGCATAGATATACATAAAATTGTTTTAATGATTTGATACATTTTTTTTAAAGATTTTAGGTGTTTTTGTTAAAATATACGCAATGTGCGAAAACACGGTTTTCCGGCAATTAAAAAAAAACTGTAGTGCCGAATTTTTCACCCGCTTAATATGTTATGGATACATATGAGTTCCAACTACTGGCAAATTTTCAACCCAAAAGTTTTAAAATTACGGCTAAAAACCCCGAAAAACAAAAAAACTTGTACCCCCCCTAGGGGGGCGGGAAATGGGTATATTTTTAATTTGACAAAACTGACGTGCGCGGGCATACCAAATAAATATTTCTTATACATTTCAACTCGATCCGACTCTTTTTCTCGATACTATAGCCAGTAAAATTTCTAACTTAAAAACTCGTACGGTTTTTTTTTTGTTTTTTCAACTTTCGTCTGTGAAGACTTAAACTTTTTTAACTTTTACCCCCCCCCCCCCCAAGTACAAACTAGACAAAATTTGTGATTTATAGAGTTGCTATTCGAAGGAATTGGTCTAGTATTAAAAAAGTTACAGTGTATACAGCGAAAAAAAAAGCCCACATCAGAGTAAAACCAATACCTTCTCGCTTTGCATCGAAGCTAAAATGAGATCACAATTAATAAATATTCTTATATCTCGTCGTAGATCTATTATACTTCATAGTATTAATCATAGTTAGTAGATAATGTTTCTCGACATTTATATTTTCTCACCGTTTCTAAACTATCATCGAGACCCGTTACGTGTTTGAAATAAATAAAAAAAAATGACATTCCATACTTGGATAATTGAGTCAGTTTTCAATCTACACAGACTGAACGCTTACTTCAATAATATAACAGAGTTGCTATAATTTTACCCTGGTATGGCCTGTAAGCGGAACTATTCAATTCCTGTAAAACAAAAACAACAGTTTTTTAATTAACGTAACGACCTTTTCGATTGGTATTCCACTGCGGACCGGCGCGGCAGCCACATTGGATGTTTTTAAGTCTTCAATTAGTTAATTCCACGGTATTTGCTTGTGAATTGATTAAATTTATTGTATAGATTTTCTCGTGCCTTTACGTGACCGACCGAGCTTCGCTCCCGTCGTTTATGTAATTAGGTACTGATGACTGGGCAGAGTCGAGCCCGTAGGAAACCCGAGTGTCCGGTTTGTCGTGCAGTCGAATATCCGTTGATTTTGTTATGACCGCCTACGCCATCGTAGGACGGCAATAAGCCGCATGAAAGAATATGAATTGCACTAAAAAAAATAAATAAATAAAAAAACACACGTGCCGAGTCAAAAGTGAATACGAGCTACACCCAGTCTCGGATGTTGATGTTTACCGGTGTATATATATATATGGTTTTACAAAGCAACAGCCTTTTCAATAGCGGGAATTGTATTATGGTATATTATAATAATGTATAATTAATGTTGATTGTTTTTGCTTTCAGGACATAAGAACTCTGCTGATAACTGCCGATAACTGTGAGTACAGTCATAATGATATTAGATTAAACAATAGACCCGCACATCCGTAGAAATAATTCATAAGGACACGTACGTTCGTATTATATTTTGAGCATTTCATTTTAAGTGTTATCGGCCCATTTGGTCTGGCATAAAAATAGATTACAACCCTAAGCCGTTTACTCGTATAGGGTGTTATTTAATCAATAACACATGTTGTATGTCTTAGACTGGCTGGCGCGAACACGATATGAGCCACTGCAACAACTCAGACAAATACTTTTGAGTGATTACTTATAATTGATAAAAACAATATGTATGTATTTCACCGTAACAAAAAATGTGTTGATTAGATGTTACCTCTTCACATTAAGATGTGAATATAAATTGAATTGTAAAAAATAGATGCAAAATAAAAAATAAATACCTAAAATTTAATCTGCATCTTCTGAATATTACAATGATGTAAAAATACAACTTTGCAATACTCTGAAACTTGTAAATAAATTATAATATAAGTTTTAGTTTTTTTTTAAATAAACTATTTTGAAGTTTTAAATTGTTAGTATGTTAAAATTAACATAAAACTGAACCTTATTTCCTACAGTAGAGAATAATACAACTATATATTTAATTTGTCTTACCGAAGAGGTATAGATTTCCACGGCATACATATTATATTAAAATATAACGAGTAGATTGTTAGGATGATAGTTTATTTTAATTTTTAATGTTTTTTTCTGAAGCGTTGGCTCTATTAAAAACAAACAAAAAAGACGTTTTTTGATGTGGTTGCAATGATTAAAAATAGTAAGAATGCTGATATATTTACCACAAGTTAGCCAAAACTACATTATTAAATGTGATCTGAATATTATAATGATGTGTTATTTTTATGTATAAAATAATTCGCGTAAAAATGATTATAATATCTAATAATTCTAACTTAACATATTATTACTTTGAAATCTGAATAAACTGTAGTGGAAGGAATAGATAAAATATTAAACAATGTATTAGTACTTCACAGTCAGTATAATATTTAATGCGCCTGAAGCTAACAACGGCATGTACGGACTATGGTGGTCAATAGCACAATTTAAACATTAACAATACAATTAGGTCATTAATTGTGCGAAAAATATATTATACCTACTCCATATCAATAACCCATTATTTATAATAATAATATATTTCTTCTATGGAATTGACTGCTTCTAATTTGCCTTTGTCCTTACAGTGTTCCACGTCAACGTTATTTATCGGCACGTTTAGCACTTTACTATAATTAGAAGTGTATTGTTAGACGTATGAAATAACAATTTTTCAGTAGCTATTACGATTATTTATGTTTTCGGGTCCAAAAGGGTCAATGTCAATGTTTGGCGAAAATGAGTATGTTCACAAAGCATGTAGATTAAAATTTCATAAATAATATTTGTGTAAAAATAAGCTCTTCTCTCTCTCTCTCCTACCACAAAAAAATTAAAAAATTAGTAAAAATTAAAAAAAAAAATGGAAATGGAAACTTAAAAGCTAAAAGTTACAAAAAATGAGATTGCCCATTTTTGGTTCCAACCTACAAAATGTACTAATTAATTATAATTTAAAAATTAAACAGGTATTCTTCATTTGGGTTGTTTTTTAATCTATAATTTTCCCATAATAAATATATGTGTAGTGTTATACTTGTAAATTTGTATGTTACATGTTTGACGCTTAATATTTTGATTAACTTTCAACCTCAATGAAGTATAAAGCTCCTAAGTCCGTGATACGTGTAAACGAGAGAATACTGCGGCATCATATTTTATTGGGAATCAGTATGTTGATGAGTTAATTCGACACGACTGATGTACTTGATTAATAACTTCATTGCTAGATTGTTGTTGAAAATTGTTGACGGTTTTCATTTACATGACCCATAATGTAGTAATAAGAAGTGATGGGTTGGGTTTTGAATTTTGGATTTGTTTACGGAAGTTATGAGTTTCTTAAGTCTTTCGGTATATGTAAGTTTTATTTTAACCACTTACACGAACTACAATGTTTGGTTTTTAAATGCTATTACACCAATAGGTTTCGCTCGCATGTTTGTATCTAATTAAACGCTTAATGAGGAATAAAAGTGGTTGTTAAGTAGGTTTTTTTTTTTAAATTAAACGTTAATTAAACATATGGTGTACTGCAATTGCAATTGGATTCAATTCCAATAGGGTTTTTATACTTTTAATTTTATAAATATATAAAACTGTAATTGCCAATTATTACCGTTGAATGATTATTTCCGGATAAGAGTTAACTCTAAGGACATCAGCGGTAAACACAAATTATTCTATATCTAAAATATAATGAAAGGATGCAGTTTTGGAACTGTTTGGACTACTTTTTTTCCCCCACTTGCTAGTTATTATACATAATAGTACTAAGTATTATGTAGATAATAGTACAGTGTGTACGACACGACAAAACTTTTAATTCGACGAATTTTGTAAACCATCGTGAATGATTCATTGTAAACCACTAAATAGATAAAGGCAGAAGGGTCACTTCCAATGTAAACAAAAAAATTACGACCATTTTGTAAAGACCTATTTAGTATATTAATATATGTGTTATGTATAGATATAACATAATAGTGGTGTAGCCTTGAGAAGATGGCCGCCCGCGTTATTTTGTGATAACTATCTTCCCCGTGTTAATTTTTATCATTGTCCGGGGCCTGTGTAAACTTGCCAGATCATCAACGATAACATATGGTTCGAAGAAAACCGTTGTAAATCGCGTCCTACATAATGTGGTGTTGTTGTTTGTTTATCATTCGAACAGGACATTAAATCCCTCGGTCGTCTTAAAAACATTGTCGACTAGACTGCGGCTCTGTTGTTGGCGTTATTGTTATTGTTGTTACCCAAGGTTGTCTGTGCAACGAATTATAATTATAAGTAATATAATCCTTTCGTAATAAGGTCTTTTGTGTCCAAGGCAATGTTAAAACGTCGTCACAAAGATTTTGTTTAAAAAAAAATTCGGCGAAAACCAATTTTAACCGTAGTGAGCTCGCTCGCTGCGAGGAAATTCAATTAGTATTGTGTTTGTTTTTCGTTAAAGGCTCTACCGCGGAAATACATTTTAATTGGAAAATCACCTGTAAACGCGTGCTATGGTTATTGCACGGGCAACTCGGATGACCCCATGCTGGTGTTTTGCATTGAAAAGTTGTGTTTTATGTAAATGCCCCGAGCTCCAGGTCGACCGAAGGCTGCTGCTGCAGTTTGCTGCCGCTGCGTGAGCCGTAAAATATCGTCGTGAGATCTCTTTTGGTTGTTTCCACATCCGTTCGCTTCCCTTTCTACATATCCCGTCTCGGTTTAACACATGAATAATGAATGATGCCAAAGAAAAGAAGAAGAAAAAAAAGAACCCTGAGCGGTAAATCGACGCTCCCTCCCTGTGTAAAATTTATACTAAACTTATTAATTGATCAATAACCGCAAATATTATGGCATACGTTTCATACATATGTTATGTATCTCTTTTTTTCACCACGTATGGTTTTCGAAAGCCCAAATAATTATACTTTATTTTACGTTTTTTGGTTAATAAACGTTAAATATAAAATATGTATAATACTCTGTTAGTACTTTTTCGTACCGTGTAGGGTTTACAAATTAACTTAAGATTTTATATTATCAATATATATTTTCTTTAGAATATTACGTCTACTAACATAATATAATTATTTTAGCGCTGTATTTTAGATATTTAATAATCATACGATGATGATTATAAAATTAGGTTATTCTTTTTAAATTTGACCTAATAACAAAAACATAAGCATTATGTTTTTTTAGTTTTGATACACTTTTCGTTTTTGTCGTAGAATACAGCTTTTTAAAATACTTAAAGTTGTTTTTGCTAAAAGTGGTTTTTTCGAAAACCGACTCCTTCATCGAAAACTTCGATTAAAAATAAACTTATTTATTCGGTGTTTAAAGTTTACAACCAAAATCAACAAAGATCTTCTGTATATATATAGCAAATAAATACAGAAGAACTTTGTTGATCTTGGTTGTAAACTTTAAACACCGAATAAATAAAAGTTTATTAATAATTTATATAAAATAACAGTTAATATATAGCTAAAATATTGATTTTATAGTGTCTTATAGCCATCGAAATTATTCGTTGTGTAAATTTATGCAATCACATAATATGTTAACTGGCATTGTGTTCCTTGTACAATAATAATCAATGGATATCTATTCTAACACTGTTAAAAAGTGTCGTGAACACTTTATGGCTTTGTATTTTGATCTGGCGGTGTTTAGAAATTTAAAAATAAAACGTCAGAATAAGAGGCATCAGACAAAAAAAGGGACAGACGCTATCGCATAAATAATGTTTGGTACTAACGACGTCACATGTGGTTATTTTTACATAAAAATAAGTCGCATGCACCAGCGGCTCGGATAATAACATAAGAAAGAAGTACTCTCGAGGTCGAAGTGGGTGGGTGGCTTGTAAAAAAAAATTACAAAATTGTATCATTTTATTGTATACTTAGAAATCCGTTGTTTACTTACACGGCATGTATTCCGTTTTTGTTTTATGTAATAAAAACGGGCCTTGTTAACTCGGCAAGTTTAGTGTTTAATTTTGAAGTTTTCAAATTAATTAGTTAGTTGTCTATAATATAACCAAAATGTTATTTTACCATTCTGTCTTATATATTAGGTACAGTGTACCTATTGCAAAATAAAATTCCCGTTAAAAGTCCAATTATTCAACTACAATAAAGCATTTTTAATAACCCATTTTCTCGCTAAGACAATCTGAAGAGATTACATTTTCCAAAAATTACTCTCTGCCAATGATAAAGTAAAACCTTTAAATTCAGATTTCATGTTCACTTACATTGAATGTCACGGGACTATACTGTGTTATTGAAATGACTTAGTTCAATTAATCATGTTTAAAGCATGAGTAACAATTATTACGTATACACTAACTGTACA